AGAATAATGCTAGAAAAACAATACTGTAAGAATATCAGACAGTATTTTTATATCAGACCCAAAGCCTGCTGGAACGAGTTGTTTTTTGCTTAAGTTAACTCTATCACGATTTTATTTCATTCATCCTTTCAACAAATATTTATTGACAGTTTACTGTGTGCTAAAATAAACTGCCTTTAGGCATAAGTGAACACTCACTTTTAGACTGATAGCATCTAAAAAATATTATTAAGAAAAATTCGAATTCATCTCCATTCTTTTAAAGAGGGGGATTATGCTTTTTGTTAATAGGTATTTGTTTTTATTTGTTTATTATGAAACAAGTTCTCACTCTGTCACCCAGGCTGGAGTTCAGTGGTGTGATCATAGCTAACTGTAACCTCAAACTCCTGGGCTCAAGTGATCTCCCACCTCAGCCTCCTGAGTAGCCTGGAGTACAGGCATGCGCCATCATGCCCAGCTAATCTTTTTACTTTGTAGAGACAGGGTCTTGCTATGTTGCATAGGCTGGTCTTGAAACCCTGGGCTCAAGCAATCCTGCCACCTTGGCCTGTGAAAGTACTGGGATTACAGGCACGAGCCACTGCACTGGCCAGTATTTATTAAAATGTGAGATTATTTGGTGTGGTGGACATGAGCAAAAGCTCTGGAATCTAATTGAACTTGAGTTGTAACTACACCATCAGTTATGTAACCCTGAACAAATTATTTCTCTCTGATCCTCAGTTTTCTTATCTATAAAATGGAGATGCTAGAATATCCACATAAGAAAGCTATGAGGATTAAATGAGATAATGTAACATGAACATAGTTCGATTTTATTGTAATAGTACAATAACATACTATTACTTTCTAATCTACCAAATAATCTCACCTCCTATACGCTAAGATATAAATGTCCTAAAATTGACTTGGAGAGGAGAGGCAGGGTCAGACCACACAAAGAACAAACTCAGCCTTTTGTAAAATCATTAATGAATGCATAGTACCTTCATCAATATCAGGAGGAAGGCCTCCAACAAACACCTTTCTAGAGTAGCGTTCTACTCGTTCCCCATTTTGACAGCGAGTGGGAGAACTTAAGCCAGATGACAGGGCCTGATCGCCATGGCTGTCGTCCAGGAAGGCATCTTCAAAGGGAAAGAGAGAAGATCGACCTGAAACAAATGTGGGAGTTTTCTACAATTAAAATGTTTTTCTAGGACAATAAATGCTCTATTAGAAGCCCGAAGTACAAAGAGAAGCATTCAAAAAATGTGTCCTGAGCTATGGCTTTTCCAAGATTACCAGGACTGAAGATTACCAGGTCTAGATACATTTTTTATCATCATTTTTGTATAAGGGTATGCACAGTCTTGGGATGACCAGATTGCTATCTAAAGAAACAGCATGGTGGGGCATGATGGCTAACGCCCGTAATCCCAACACTTTGGGAGGCCAAGGTGGGTACATAACCTGAGGTCAGGAGTGGTTAACAGGGCAAAACCCTGTCTCTACTAAAAACACAAAACTTAGCCAGGTGTGGTGATACACTCCTGCAATCCCAGCTACTCAGGAGGCTGACGCAGGAGAACTGCTTGAACCCGGGAGTTAGAGGTTGCAGTGAGCCAAGACTGCACCACTGCACTCCAGCTTAAGCGACAAGAGTGAAACTCAGTCAAAAAAAATAAAAGAGGAAGCATCAAAATGGCAGTGGTTTCCTTGCTAAATCGCTGCATTTTACTTATTCAGTCTCTATCACAGCTACTAGGAGTATATTCAGCAGCTATTTTTTCTTTCTTTAGTCATTTCTTAAAATAAATGAAGTAATCTCTATCCACGGATTTTTATCTGCTCTTTATGGTTACCTCAGAGGTTTAGTTCTAAAGAGTGGTCCTGACAGCCAAGGAAATCAGGTGAAACTGGTGACAGAGGCTGATAACTTCTTTTCTAAGAGCAGAACTAAAGATCATCAAGTCTTCCTTATCATTCCAAGCTACTCTAATTGGGAAATAAACATATGCAATAATAAAGGACAGGGTAAGTAAATGAAAACATGTAACTTAAGATGTGAGAGTAGAAATGTAGAGGTGGTTATGAAACCCTTAACCCTACTAATCTACGCTATATTTTATGCCACTCAAAAAATATATGAAAAGAAATGAAAAAGAATTATTTTCATTGTTAATTTTATAGCCAAATAAAGTTTGTAGAGCAAAAGTACCTACCCAGTCCACATGACTACAAGAAAGATACCAGCAGTTAGAGTCAGCAGTAAATTTACCAGCAGTAAATATAACACAATAATGCCACTTGGCATTACAAAATAAAATCTAAATTTAAAATCAAATCTATTTCCTGTTTGAGTCAGTGACTTCCTAGTAAAACTTTCCACTAGGTTCCACTCTAAAAATGAACCATTAGAGCACTCTAACTTTTTGGGGAAAAAAGGAAAATTCCCCTCTAAAATAAATTCATATACTCTTAAAAAAAAAAAAAAAAGCAGCGTTTTCTCCATTTAGTCTATCCTATCTTTATTTCCCTGAGATCTAGGTTTTGTGTCACAACAGCCAACTCTTGAAAACAGAATATAAATAGGGCTTAGAAAAATACTGAACATGTATTTATAAAAAAGTTAAAGTTATTAACATAACTGTGGCTATTTTGTGAACAACCCAGGTAGTGTAAGAAAGACACTATTTCAATGTTAGGAGTTAAATAAAAAGACCAAAGAATTTTTTGTTCAGTCTTTTTCAGCTTAGCTACAAAGAAACAGAACAAAATCTGTCACCAGATTTTAGTGGCAGCAACAAACAATAGACAGTAAATCCCTGTCCCTTGATGTTTGTTTTGATCACTGGCGGTAAAAGAAATAGATTTGCAGCAACCATAGGCAAAAAGGGCTTTCGAAAGACATCCAGAGACGTTCTCCTACAGCTGACAGGTTCACTTTATTCCATAACCCACGCTCAGTGCATTACATGCCTACTCAGTGTCAGGCATATGTGCAAATCAGCATTTCCCACTGAAAGTTCCTAACCCCATCTCTTACCTTCAACACTAGTAACATTATATACTTAGAAAGCAAGAGCTGGGGAAGGGGAAGCAAATAATCTGGGAAAATAATGAATACTTTATTCCTTTCCACCTCAGAAAATAAAAGGCTACAAAAAGTTCTACAGTAAAGAAACATTAACTGGCCAGGCATGGTGGCTCACACCTGTAGTCCCAGCACTTTGGAAGGCCAAGGCTGGCAGATCACTTGAGTCCAGGAGTTCGAGACCAGCCTGGGCAACATGGTGAAACCCTGTCTACAAAAAATACAAAAATTAGCCGGGCATGGTGACACACATCTGTAGTCCCAGCTACTGGGGAGGCTGAGGCAGGAGGATCGTTTGAGTCCAGCAGGTAGAGGTTGCAGTGAGCTCAGACCATACCACTGCACACCAGCCTGGGTAACAGAGTGAGACAGACCCTGTCTCAAAAAAAAAAAAAAAATTAACTTACTCCAGCATTACCCAGATGTTAAAGGAATTATTTACCATACAAAAGTCAGTGGAAAACACTTTAGGAAATATTCACCCACATTTCAGTGACACTGAACATATGAATCACAGTCTGGTGGGAGAGGCAGGCAAGTACATAAATAATTATAAAACAGAGAGAGAAGTACTAAGAGAAGACTTTACCAAGTGACACAAGAGCACAATTTACTCCCCTCCTGGAGAATGGCGAGGAGAGGCTCTTAGAGTATTTTTACAGGGCGGCAAGTTTGAGCAGAATCTTGTCAGAGTGGGAGATTCTGAAGTAAAGAACAAAAAGCCACAGAGCAAGTACTGTCAAAACAGCTCTTGATCTTTCCCTCCGAAATTGCTCCTTCTCTAGTATTCCCTAAAATCTCAATAAAAATGCTGATTATCCACACTGGATTCAATCCAGAAACCTAGAACTCATCCTTGACATCTCCCTCTCTTATACTCCATGTCAAACCCATCTCTCACTAAGTCCTACCAACTCAAGCAGACCAAATAGCCTAATAGTCTACTGACTTCTACCTCATACCCCACAATGCTTTCTCTACATAACAGCCAAAAGCACTGTTTTCAAACATTAATTTGAACATATAAGCATACTCCTCACCGTATCCTCAAAAGCCCTCAATGACTTCCCATTGCTTTCTGATAATGTACAAAAACATAACTGTAAACTACAAGGCCTCTGCACACCTCTTCTTCATCACAGTTGCTGCCTCTCCCTCTTGCTTACTAACCACCAGTCACACAGACCTCCTTCGCATTTCCTGATTATTCCTCCTTGCTGCAGGCTCTAAGGACAATGTGTTCCCTCTACCTAAAACAAGCATGCCCTTTTCAACTCTGCAATTTCCTAATTAATTCATATTAATTCTTCAGGTCTCAGCTGAAAAGTTTCCTCAGGTCAAACTTTCCTAAGCCTTTAGATTAGGTTAGATCCCCTTTTCTACCCATAGACAGCCCCCTGTACTTCTTCCTAACAATTTCCCCAATGACCATTATACCATTTGGGTGGGTTTTTATTATGTATCTCTTTCCCTAATCCTATTAAATTGTAAACTCTATTTAATCTTGTTCACCACTGTATCTTCCTGCCCTAATTAGGTCACATAAAAGGCACACCAAAAATGTTAAATGTGAGGCAGCATCCAGGAAAGGAAAACAGTATGTGCAAAGGCATGTCACTGCAAATCTATGATGAAACACAATATACAGAAGTGAGAATGGCAAGAGATGTAACCATGTCCTAGAAATTCGAGACCTTTCCTATTGCTTTTATTTGCTCAAGCTTAATGTTCTATATTACAAAATGGAAAATTATATTCCCACTTTTTGAATTTAATATATATTTTAATATTAAATTAGAATTAGAACCTCCACCTCCCAGGTTCAAAGGATTCTCCTTTCTCAGCCATCCCAGTAGCTGGGATTATAGGCGTGTGGCACCACACCCAGCTTATTTTTCTATTGCCTCAGCCTCCCTGGTAGTTGAGATTATAGGAGTGTGTCACCACACCCAGCTTATTTTTCTATTTTTAGTAGAGACAGTGTTTCATAGTGTTGGCCAGACTGGTCTCGAACTCCCAACCTCAAGTGATTGGCCTTCCTCGGCCTCCCAAAGTGCTGGGATTACAGGTGGGAGCCACTGTGCTTGGCCCTAATACTGGCTTTTTTTTTGAACTACACTAACTCCATAGAGACGATGATATTCTCACCTAATCCATCTTCTGTCCTGTCATAATGACTTCTCTAAGATACCTATGACCATGTTAGTCCTTTATCCAAAATCCTACCATAACTTCTATTACGTCCATCAACATTTTGAACTCAGGGAGATGGGGGATGAGGTGAGAGTCTGAAGAAATCTGTGACCAACCAAAGGAGAGATGAGGAAGTGCTGAACCAGAGCAGTGAAAGAGAGAAGCAGATGCTGAAGACATTCTGAAACAAAAAGAATTTTCTGCATGGCCAACATAACCACAGCTCAGAGTATTTTGGCAAAGAAAACAAAATCAAGAGTTGTAAAAATTTGGACAGTTTTATTAAGTGGTTATGGGTAATTAATAAATTTCCCAAGGTTTTAAAACCAAATCTGTGTCTTAGTATTTAGAGTACTATAGCCTTCAGCAATAAAGTTGCCCTTGGAAATCAAACTGCTAAGAACTAACACATAAATGATGTTTCTCTGGGGGTAAGAATTAAGAATACAGGTCTCAGAACCCAGTCCCCAGATCTACTAATCTGAATCTGTGGGGGTCAGGCTTGAAAATCTGTACTTTGCTCGAATTTCCCCAGAGATTCCTATGCTCAAGTTTAAGAATCGCTGAGGTGGAGGTTATTTGTCTGCTACAGGCAGCCACTGAAAGAGATATTATGTGTGAAGTGTATGGAACCCTGGGAAATGGATCCAAGTTCAATCAAGTTAAGAAAAGTATATCCTCAACACTGGAATGTAAAACCTATAACCTTATTAACCTTACCGTAACATGACTGCCTGAAGTGCTGGCAGAACAGAAAGTCTGCAGAAAGTATTTAAAAGACAGAATTGCAGCGTAAGAGCTTGTAGTGTTCACCCAGAGCAGACCGACAGGAGACATGAAGACTTTATCATACTATGTAGGATTATTCCTCCAGGGGACGGAATG